GGTTTTGTTTCTTAATCCAGGCTGCAACTCTGTGTCTTTTATTGAAGAATTTAGTCCATTTACATTTAGAGTTAATATTGATATGTTAACATCTCTATTTGCCATTGTGTTTGTCTTTCCTTTGATTTTATTTATTTATTCTTTTAATAACTTTTTTTTTTTTTGGCCTTCTTTCATTGTTATTCGTCCCTCTGAGGTTCTGGCTTTAGGACTCCTTGTAGTATTTTTTGGAGTGGGGGTTTAGTTGCAATGAAATTCCGGAGTTTCTGTTTGTCTGGGAAGGTCCATATTCTTTCTTCAAAGAGGAAGGAGAGCTTTGCGGGATAGAGTATTCTTGGTTGGCATCTGTTTTCTTGGAGTCTGTTGACTATGTCCCTCCACTCTCTCCTTGCCCGTAGTGTTTCTTCGGAGAAGTCTGATGTCAGCCTGATTGGCTTTCCTTTGAATGTTATCTGTTTCTTCCCTCTTGCCAGCTTCATTATTTTTTCCTTGTCCTGGATTCTTGGGAGCTTTACTATTATGTGTCTTGCTGTATTTTTCCTTTCTTCGTGGAAGTTTGGTGTTCTTCTTGCTTCTTGTATATCAATTTTCAGCTCCTCCTTCACATTTGGGAAGTTCTCTTCAATTATCTCTTTGAATATTTTCTCTGCTCCTACTTCTCTCTCCTCTCCTTCTGGTATTCCTATAACTCTTATATTTCCTTTCCTCATGGAGTCAGATAGTTCCCGAAGTCTTTCTTCATTCTTTTTCCTTCGTACTTCTCTTTCCTTTTCTGTTTTGGTTCTTTTTATTTCTGTGTCTTCAAGAGTACTTATTCGTTCTTCCATTTCATCAATTCTGCTTTCATTGCTTTTCCCAGAATTCTTTAGTTCTTCCATTAATTCTTTGATCTCCTGCATTTCTTTTACTTCCCTCTTTAGGGACTCAATTTCATTCTTCTGATCGTTGATTATTTTTCCCTTATCATTGTTTTCCTTTATGACTTCTGTCAGTTTTTTAATCACGGCAATTTTAAATTCTCTTTCTGGAAGGCTCAGAAGTTCTTCCAAGTTACTGTCGTTGCCATCTGGGGGCTGATTTTCTTTTTGTGGTGTGCTTTTTCTCTGGAGAGTTGCTAGGTTGCGTGCGGTTCTTCTCCTCCCTACAGTCTGTTTTCTAATTTGCCGTATGCGTTGGGACACTGTGTAGTTGGGACTGGCCGGCATCTTGGGTGGGCTTCTCTGCTCCCCCCTGGTTCCTCCAGGAGTCATCTGTCAGTTTCAAGCAGTCTTTATTGGAGAAAGGTCCCTGTTCTAAAATGCCGATGTGGGGACACACTCCCCTGTGCGCCTGGTCTGCCCCGGCGGTGGGTTCCTGCTCCCCCTCTGGGCTTGGACTGCAGGCCAGAGGGGGTCTGGCATGGGCGAACTTCCCCCGCTCACCTCTGGCTCCTGAGGAAGCCTTCTGCAGGTAGTCTTTACTGAAGAAATGTCCCTGTTCTAAAATGGTGATGTGGGACACACTCCCTGCGCGTACGGTGTCAGGCACACTCTTCTGCGTGCCTGGTCTGCCCCGGCTGTGGGTGCTCGCTCTCCCTGTGGGCTCAGACTACTGGTCGGAAGGGGCCCGGCGTGGGCTAACTCCCCAGCTGGCCACTATCTCCTTCAGGAGCCTCTGCTGGCTTCAAGTCGCTAGGTGGCGCCAGAGATCTCTCCTAGAGCCCTTGGGGAGCTGATTTTCCACCCCGTGGGACAGGGAGCAGAGCGGGGATGGTAGGGTACACCTCAACGGCTTTGGGGTGCTGTGTCTGCCTTGTGCCCCACCGTCGTGGGGAACCCACGCCCCTAATTTCGTGCCCCGGGTCTCAATTCCAAAGCCCTCAGTTCCAGGACGCGGGCTGTAGCCCAGATCAGTGGCGCGGGAATGGCGCCTTTTGAATCCCGCTCCCCTGCCTGGGCGCCTGGTTCCTGCTCACTCCGGGAGGGCCTCCGCGAGTCTCCCCACAAGCCTAGGTCGTCTCCCCGCAAGCCTAGGTCGCAGGCGCGGGGACCTGGGCAGCTGCGATCCGATCCGCACAATCCGCGCCGCTTTCCCCGCGCAATCCCGCTCCGCGTCTGTTTTTCGGCGTGCCGCTTCCGAGCAGGCTTACCGGGCGGCCGGGGCTGTGTGCTGGGGCTGGTCTCCTCCTGGGCGGGGCTCTCTGCAATGGCGCCCGGAGCTCACCTCTGCGGCGGATCCTGCGGGGGTTCTCCACAGCTCCCGTTCACAGGGTGTGGTGGCTGCAATAGTTCCTTTCCACTCACAGTCCCGCTTGCTGCGTCCTTTGTTCTTGTTGGCAGTTTTAGTTTGTTGTTTTCCTCCTCTCTGCCAGTCGGAGAGTGCCGCCTCTGTGGGCGGGGGAGGGGAGCAGGGTTCTGCGCTTCCCTCCCTTCTGGTCCTCTTTTATGGCAACTTTCTTCTTCGGGCAGTTTGCTGGAGTCGTCCGTTTATCTTCCGTGTCCTGGTTCTCACTGGGACCTGCCGCTTTTCCTCCCTATTCACTTTTTTTAATGGGAGATCTTACTCGCAGCGTCTCCTCGCCGCCATGTTGCTCCGCCCCCTCCATGATTTCTTTTTTTTCCCCCAGTAACTTTTCTTTACCATGGATCTCATATAGGGTCACCCTTCTGGGCTACATTAATAGCTTATTTAAAACAAGATTCCCTTAGATTTTTGACTTAATCATATCACCTACAACTATTTCTTCTTTTGCAGTACTCCTATTTTTTTTTTTTTTTTCTCAGTGCACTAGCTCTGGTCTCTGCTAGTATTTGGAAGAGTAGATGACTTCACCTTGTTCTTGACTTTAAAAGGCATTGCCTTTGGGCCTCCCTGGTGGCGCAGCAGTTGATCGCTGGGTTGCAAAGCTGCCCGCAGCCTCTGCAGCGCCGGTTCGATCCCGGGACCCTGGGCATAGGTCCCACATGGCACGCACACCTCTCCTGCCACCGGCTGCTCCCCTCAGCAGTGTACTTGTCAGTCTGCCTGTTCTGCTGTCAGCTCTGGCTCTGGTGAATTCTCTCACCCTCCCGCACTTCTGACCGTACCCAGCACTTGTATAAATAAATAAATAAATCTTTAAAAAAATTAAAAAAATAAAATAAAAGGCATTGCCTCTCTCTAATGCTTCACATTTTGTTATGATGGTCTAGATATTTGACAAGTACCTTCTATTAGGTTTGGGTTTATTCATTTAGTGGTTTTCTTAGTTTTTGACATCCTTAATAGGCGGTACTCAGTTATTTAGAGCACAAAGCAACTTTATTCTTGAACCCTTCCCTGTCCTCTTGGAGGACTTATTTATATTTGGAGATGCAGCTGGAAAGCCTTTCTCCATCTTTGACTCTGCCTCCTTTTCACTCCCAGCCTTGCTCAGCATCTTTCAGGAAATTCCAATGAGCTTAAACCATCTTTGACTGGGATGCTGTTCAGGTTTCAGAGATTAGTACATTCACAGAAAGCTCTTAAGAGCCTCAAAAATTACCAAAGATAATTTTCCAGATAATTTGCAATAAATAAAAGTTAAAGCCAGAAGTCTGGTGACCAACACATAGGAATAAACCTCTTTTAAGATTTGTTCAGGGAAGTATGGATTTACCTCAACATTCCATACTTTTCATGCTCTTATCCTAACTCCTTAGTAAACAAATGATCTAGTCCCATAAAAATATTAGCAGAAATGTATTCCAGATCTTCAATGACTGAGGTGGCAGAAAGAGGATTTATTTTAGTGTGCATTCTCAAACATGTGAAGGAATCTACTTCCAAAGAAGAAATCTCTTGATGGGTTATCAACTGTTTTGGGTAAATAAAGAATCAGCAAAAATAAGCCCTGGACCAAAAATTAAATGACATTTCAGTATCTCTTTCCATCTTTCCTATGTTTTCTGTGGGAAAACACACCTGGTTGAACAATTGACTTTTCCTTTGTTTCTTTCATTCTTTCTGTACCACAATTATGGGGGGGCACTTTATACCTCAGTGTTTGTTTTTTGTTTTTTTTTTCTTCTTCAGAATAATTGAAGGAGGGAAAGCAATTCTTTATGCTACTTTCAAGCCAGGCTGCATCAGTATCCTGGGAAGGAAATGGCTAGGTTCTGGGAGAGATGGCTTTTTTTTTCCTCAGTCAAAATACATACAAGTTGTTGGAGAATGTCTCATCAGGCAAAAAAGCAATGTTTGACTGCTTCATACTGAGTGCTACACAGTTTCCTAGAAAATGTCAGAATGTCTTCTATAGGCAGTATACCTTGAGTGAACATCTACCTCCCTGGGTGAAACCAACTTACCTGTAAAGTCTAATACCTTTTTGAATCATTTAATGTCATTTAGGTTGCTTGTTGATTTAAAAAGCACCCCAGAGCTTGTGTGAGTTTTTTTGTTAATCCTAAAATGCTATACATCTATCTTGTACTCTGAAAGTTCAGATGTACTAGAACATTCCCCACCCACTCATGAAGTATTAGGAGGGGGGTGGAGAAACACTGTTCTAAGGAAGCAAAGAAAAAGACTAAATCCCCAGTGAGGCAGTCAACTCAAATTTTCACTTATCTCAATTAAAAGCATCTCATTAATAACTTGTAGTAAACCATTTTATTAACTTAACCAATTCTCAGTGGCTTATCCCCTTTGGTTATTTTCTACATAAGTTAGTTATTTTATGATTTCCTTTCTTTGGTAGACAGAAAAAGGTATTTGTCTTTCTACTTTGACATCTTTATTAGTATCAGAAACAAATCAGTTCTAGACTGATATTAAAATAAGATCTTATGTGCCAATTTTTTCCTAACGAAAACAATTATTACATATATATGTCAATTTTCAGTTATGTCAAGAAATGTGACTTCTATATTCCGTAGTAGCAGGTACAAACATCAGAGATCCCCCCAAAAATCAAATTATAAACAAACACATGTTCAACATTTTGACGTAGGTTTTGATTTTTTTTTTTATCAGAAAATCTCCACACATCTACCACTTACCTTATCACTTACCTCACTTTTTATGTAGCTGTTGAGAAAACTGCTTGATACACAAGGCTTTGAGAATTGCATTGCTCTGGTCAGGTGTTTTCTTGTGTTTTCTAGATCAATAGCTGCACAGTAGAGTAGTAATACTCCCCTTTAGAGCTATAGTGCAGGAAATTCAAAGGAAATTCCCTTTCCCTTGTTGATTTTAACGAGAAACTCCAAAACTTTATACTACATGTGATGATTTTGAAACATAAAACAACAGGATGTAAGTTTAGAGTTCAGGCTTCTAGAACATATCCTTTTCAATGCTTCCTTTCTGCTCATCCAGTCTGTCTTCTCCAGAACACTGGAGAAAAAACAGGGTTAATAGAATACTTAGAGCCTTATAATAGACTGCTAATTAGAGAAAGACTAAAATTAGGAAACAAAAAGCTGTCATTGAAAAGTTTCTGTGGCAAAGGGGAGCCTACAATATCAATTTTCTTTACAACTGTGAAAACTTAATTTTGAGAAGAAAAACAAAATATCAGTGGGCTAGCGTCCTTCGATGCTTTGCGACTTGCTCTCCTTTTAATTTTTCAAGCTCAGTGGCTCAGTGGACTGCTCAGCGGCTCTGGGGCCCCACCAGGTCCTACAGCCCAGTCACCGAGCCCCCGCCCGCTAGCACAAGAAAAACACCAGAGGCCCCGCCTCCGTCGCTTTTAAGAGGAAGCGGGAGGAGACGCGACGGACGTGAGGCGCCGGAGCCACGCCCCCACGCGGGGCGGGGCTGCCTCCAGGCCACCTTCTCGGAGGCAGGAAAAGGGGTGGGGTCTTGTGTGATGTCATTCGAGAGCCCGCCCTGATTGGAGGGAACTTAGAAGAGTCCGGAGAAGGAGGCGGAGTCTAGTTGCCCTGGTGACGGGTTGCCCGGTGGTCGCCTGGTAACCGTTCGAGGCGGTCCTGGCTGCCGCGGTGCGTGAGGCAGAGGCCGCCGCGATCTGTGGGCCGGAGCCCACGCCGGGCCCTTTCTGACTGTTCTGGGATGGCATCCGCCGCGGCAGTCGTCACGCCGTCGGGTTTAGAGGATGGGGTGTCTCGGTCCCGCGGTGAAGGGGCGGGGGAGGTAGTCGTGGAGCGGGGCCCCGGCGCGGCCTACCACATGTTCGTGGTGATGGAGGACTTGGTGGAGAAGCTGAAGCTGCTCCGCTATGAGGAGGAGCTCCTCCGGAAAAACAACCTGAAGCCCCCGTCCAGGTGGGTGCCCTCGTCCCTGAGAGCCTGGGTGTCGGCTGCGCCCGGGGGAGCCTTTCTCTGGCCTGGGGTACACCGAGTGCGGGTTAGCAAGTACTTACCTCCATCTTCCTAGGGAGAAAGGGGCACTTCACCCAAACTTGGAGTTGGAGCTCACTGAGTTTAGACTTGCATTTTTTGTAGGGAGAGTAAACAAGTTTTGGAAGGGCAGGAAGACAGCTTGTCTAGTCTTTAAAGCACCCACAAACCGCTACAAAACACAAACTTTTTTTTTCTGATTATAGAAGTAATAAAAGTACCGATTGTAGAAAAGCACAAAATGTGTAGAAAATACTAAAATCACCAATAATCGCATCCCCAGAGATGAAATTATATCTGCCTCCAGTTCTGTTTTGTTTTTTTCCTGAAAGAGCCGGCAACATAGAAACTTGCTGAGCACTTAATAATGCTGTTAGTAAACTTGTTGACTCTGCTCTGGTTTAAAAGACTTCTTTCTATTTCTGAGATACCAGTACTCCAGAAACTGAGAAGTGGAAAAGAAACAAAATTACAGTTATGGAATTGTCTATGATAGAACCTGAAGTTCTGCCCTTGTGTGGGGAAAAGACATCCGTATTCTAAGGGCCTGCCTTTAGTAGCTGAGGGTAAAGGACAGGTAGCACTTTCTCCCCTAATCAGTATAGTTAGGGATAATCAGATCAATGTTTTACACCACTTTCTTCACATTAATACTTAAATTTGTTGATTTCATTGTGTAAGAGGCAATTTAAATTAACAATCTGTAGTACAATCTCTTAATGGCTATAGCTAGGCTCAGATAATTTGCCATCATAATTTTTATCTCAGTCCTTAGTCTCTTCCTGTAATTTGAATTTTAAAATATGTAGGTTTTTATGGAGACTGTCCATATTTGTAAATCAGTCCAAGGCTAGAGAAAAGGTCGTGTTGCTTGATGAATGATAAAAATTGTAGGAAATTGGGAATTATTACTTAACTGAGTTAACCCAAATAGTATAAACAAACAGCATTTTCTGTATTAATAAAAATGTATTTTTCCCAAGTATATTTTTCAAACTAAAGAATATTGCCTTAAGGTTCTATTGATATACTCTGTATACTATTTACTCAGAAGTTCAACAGGAAGCTTTGAATCATGGATGTGCATGGAACTATCTAGTCCAATGGTTCTCAGTTTGGTCACCAGACCAGCAGCATCAGCATATCCTGAGAACTTATTAGAAATACAATTCCACAGGCTCTTTCCCTTATCTACTGTATCAGAAATTCTAGGGGGTAGGATTCTGCATTTTAACAAGACTTCCAGGTGATTATGAAGCATCTGCAAATTTGAGAACCACTGCCCTGTCCTATAGTATGTATCAATGTCCATTTCTCTGTCCTGGGGTTATCAGTCTATAAGGAGAAGATGAGTTATTAACAGTGGGTTCTCTGAAAGGATTGGTAAGCATACATCTGGTAGGATTTCATGGCCCTTTTTTCTAACCGGTTTTCTATCCGGTTTCCTGTTATCATCCAGAGTATTTACACTTACTGTGCAGGAAAAAGTTTGTGAAGCATGGTGTATAGCACTGTGCTGATTCTTATGAAAAACAGTTATAATAGGTATAAATACTTCATAAACATAATAGCAATAGCTGTACATGGAAATGCAAAATAAAATCTTTGATCAAACTGAACTTGTTCTTAGCAAGTTTTATATCTAATTTGTTTAGATATATATCATGATTCTCCATGGACTGTTTTTAGAAGGGTCAGGGATTTGGCAAATGTCAACAAATGTTTGTTAGACTGGGGTTGTCATAGGCAGTGGTTCTTAATCCTGGCTGCGCCTTAGAACCATCTGGGATGGTCTTTTGAACTAGATCTATACTGAGGCTCTGATTTAATCCACGAGGGAAGAAGCAACGTTTGACCCTTCCCCAAAAGTTTCAAGAGCTCCTTAGTTGTTCGAATAAGCTGTCAAGGCAAAACAAATATTTAACAAAACTGATAGAGCAGAAACAGTAAGCAAAGATATTAATGATATTGTTTGTAAAAACTATAAAAATGCATGATGAATAATTGTTTAGGTTTTTAAACTGAAATACTCCTAATTCCATTTTGACAAGGTATTCTTTTATTAGTTATTCTTGACACATACATGATTTCGGAAAAAATAAAAATACTGTTTTTTTAACATGTTCTGCTTATTTTGGGTGTGACTCTGATTTAGTATGTGTAATAGTAATTATCCTAATCCTAATCCTGTTGATTAGAAGTTTTAATGTGAGTCTTCTAGATTGCTAGAAACTTGAAAGGGTAAATTAGCATTGTCTCTTGATTTTAAGGGAAAAATAAGTCTTTGGATATTTGGGACTTAGCTCCTTTCGTGACTGTAGACTTAATTGCAGTATTTTATATTCCTCCTCTCTTCTTTTGAAACAGACACTATTTTGCATTGCCTACCAACCCTGGTGAACAGTTCTACATGTTTTGCACTCTTGCCGCTTGGTTGATTAACAAAGCAGGACGTCCCTTTGAACAGCCTCAAGAATATGATGACCCTAATGCAACAATATCTAACATATTATCTGAGCTTCGCTCATTTGTAAGTGTAAACAGATCTCTTGTGCATATTTTCAAGTTATGGTTTTTAATATTGGTAACTAAACTATGCATTTTAGATGAATCCTCTGTGATTCATATATATATATATATTTGTATATTATATATACATATATATATTTGTATATATTATATATATAATTGTGTATGGATTTGTGTTCAGGTAAAACCTCAGAATGTTTGATAGTATAACATTAGTACACTTCTAAAAATGTTCACTGTATACTCTTTATAACCCTAAGTGATAATAATTTTCTTAATCTTGATATGTCTCAAAAGTAAATATATGGTTGCTTAGTTCCCTTCTGAAAAATGACAAAAAAAAAAAAAAAAAACACTAGGAGATTGAAACACTTTATATTTTGAAAGGGAACTTTGATTTAATAGTCCATGATAGCAGTTGATCTTTTCATTTCTGACTTTTCCTGGGGATAAGCAGTAAGAATTTTTGGCATGTGTGTTATTAATTTTTGACATGTGAATCACTCTGTCCTTCACATGGTTGTTTAACGATATGATACCAAGCTAGTAGTTTTACTTATTTTTCACCCTAACAAGATCAGTGATTTGTTCTGCTGCCATAAGGTTATTGCCTTTTAATTTGATACTTTGACAATAAAATGTCTTTATTTCCTTTTAGTGTTTTAGTTATCAATAGATTAAAAAAGAGTAAAGAGATGGAGTTCTAAGAAGGAATGTAATTATAGTTATTTTAAATCATATTTGAATAAGAGTAGTGATATTTTTATTCAGCAATGCTTTGCCTAAAATATTTTGACATTGGGAATATAAATAATAAAGCACTATTATTTTTGTATTTCAGGGGAGAACTGCAGATTTTCCTCCTTCAAAATTAAAGTCAGGTTATGGAGAGCATGTATGCTATGTTCTTGACTGTTTAGCTGAAGAAGCATTAAAATACATTGGTTTTACCTGGAAAAGGTAAACATTTTCCTTTTCTAGTGATAGAAATTTTATGTACATAGATTTTTTTCCTCTAAGGTTTCAGAGCTATTTAATTGAACCCATGAGTATTTTCTCTTGACTATTCTAAACTAAAAATGCCACAGGTGATTAGGAAAGGCAGTATACACAATATTGGGATGATTATCTGGTGTCTTCAAAAACCTGTTCTGATATTTTTTAATTAATTTTTTTTATTTTTTACATCATTGTTCATTTTTAAACAATATTTGCTTCTCCCCACCCCCTCAGGTGTAGTCCCCATAGAGTTTCCTTCACCACTGCAGCTGTGCACCATCACCTCAGTCCCCTGTTCTCCCTCCCTCTGATCCCTCTCCTACCTCCTTCCCTGCAGTATGTCTCTGATTTATAATTGTCTGTTTTTGTTTTGTTGTGCTTTGCACTGTTATTATTTTTTACACTGATGTCTTATTTGATTCCCCTGTATTCCTGCAATAAGTGAAACTATGCAATACTTTTCTTTTTCCTTCTGGCTTATTTCACTGAAGATAATCCCTTCTAGCTCCATCCACGTTGCGGCGAATGGCATGAGTTTATCTTTTTTGATTGCTGAATAATATTCCATTGTGTGTATATACCATATCTTCTTGATCCAGTCATCTATTTTTGGGCATTTGGGTTGTTTCCAGGTTTTACCTATTGTGAATAGTGCTGCAATAAACATGGGGGTACAGGTGGTTTTTGTGTCCTTTGGGTAGATCCCTAGGAGTGGAATTGCCAGGTCATATGAGACAGAGTGGAGAGCAGAACAGGGCAATCTACTGAAATACACTGCTAAGGGGAACAACAAGCCAGACAGGAGAGGTCTGTTACACCATGTGGGTTAGCTACCTGGCTGGGGATGGAGCTCATGCGACAGTGGCTGGCAATAGCTTGATAGCATTGAGACTTTAATCACTGTGCCATCAGGGAAGCCCAATTCAGGAATTTTTTTTTTTTAAGTCTCTTTGCATTTGTTTATTTACATATACAAAGTATATACATGGGGATACATTGGGATTATTGGTAGATTAAAGATTTTGGAAGGCAGTGTTCAGGTAAGACATGAGCAAGTACTGATTTTAGATTAGAATCAACTTCTGTAGAGAGGTGTATGTATTGTACCTGTTACTATTTTTTAATCTATGTTTAATAATATTTTCTCAGTTAAATAATCTAATCCCTGTTAACAAGTACTTTTAAAAACTTGCTTAACTTATGTTTTTATCAGCTTGACCCAAATGAAATTACTAATATTCAGCTATTTTTAATTAAAAAATGGCCATTTCATATGCTTCAACCCAAGCATTAGCACTTAGTGCGATATAAAGAATAATTATATGGTCCATATTACTTTTTTATTAGATTCTAAAATAAGTCATCAGATGTCCTGTTCCATTTGGCAGTTTTTTAAATTATATCTACTGTATTATAAATTTACAAGAAATTAATTACTATCTCACCCACTATTCAATCTTATACTTTCTTTATTTCTGGGCCTATTTTATTTTTGACACTTTATTGTGATTTGGATAATTAATGAGGACTAAATACACATGAGCGAAGCAGATGGAGGAAAACTGAAAGTAGGTATGAGAGAATATAACAGTTTGTAGCATGTAAATTACATAGAAGCTGCATATTTATATACCTAAATATGGCAAAATTAATCCTACAAGAACATTACCTTTGAAATGTTGTTGTTATCTATTCTAATCAATAAAAAAAAAATCAAGAAATTTATTCTTTAAGAAGATTGGTTTGGTACACATTCCTTAACATTTAATGGTGATTTTTGTTAACCTACCTGGGCATGGATTTTTTTTTTTTTTATATTTATTTATTTATTTATGCAAGCACTGGGTACAGTCAGAAGCACAGGAGGGTGAGAGAATTCACCAGAGCGGGGAACAGAACAGACAGACTGACGAAATACACTGCTGAGGGGAGCCGTGGGCGCGGTAGGAGAGGTCTGCGCACCATGTGGGACCCTCACCGGCGGCCGGGGATCAAATGGGCACTGCAGAGGCTGCGGGCAGCTTTGCCGCCCAGTGCTCAACTGCTGCGCCACCAGGGGAGGCCAGGCATGGATTTTTAAAATGTTTCCAGAAATAAACCCAGATACTTGGGATATCTTTAATTTAGGAAATCCATGTCATGTTCTTGTTGTTGTTGTTGTTGTTTGCATAGAAGAACTGAGGTGTAGGCCAGAGGTGTGGGGGATGAGAGGATTCACCAGAGACAGAGTGGGGAGCAGGACAGGCAAATTTGTTGAAATACGCTGCTAAGGGAAGCAGTGGGCGAGACAGGAAAAGGTCTCCTGTACCATATGTGGGTTAGCTCCTTGGCCAGGAATTGAACTCAGGCCACAGAAGTGAGAGCTCGGAGACTTAACCCCAAGGCCGCCAGGGAGGCCATATGTCATTAATCTTGATGGAGAAGTGATGATTCAATATTTGTGTGAGGATCACTGATTAGACTTTGGAAATTAGAATAAACCTGGAACTTTTTATATTGCCTCCATCAATGTAAATTTCAGGTTGATCAAAGATGTTAATGTGAAAAATGAAGCTATAGGAGTAATAAGATCAAAGCCATGTGGGATGTGAGCATTTAACAGTGATTTTGGAAGGGGGTGCAAAAACAGGACAATGTCTGGCTTAAAAGGGAGACTTTAGAATTCATCTTTTTGTCCTGCTAGATTTTTTTTTTAGCTCTCAGTTCATAGTGAACCTTATTATTTTAGGCCAACATACCCAGTGGAAGAATTAGAAGAAGAAACTGTTCCAGAAAATGATGCAGAATTAACATTAAATAAAGTAGATGAAGAATTTGTGGTATGTATGTTGTTGAACTTTTTGTTCATTTCACTTTTATATTCCCTTTCATTCTCTTAGTTAGCGTAGACCTCCATTTTCCAAAATATATTTCATTTCATTATTTCTAGAGAAGAAAAGCTTTTAAATGGAGTGCCAAGTATCAGTCATTTAGGCCTATGATTAAGATTGTTGTTCTCTTATGATTAAGGTCTGAATTTAGCAGAGGTTCTTAAGCTGTAGATCACTAGTACACATTTTATTAATGACCATTCATGATTTTGAATAGGCTGTAAATAATAAAAAATAATTTAAAAATCTACTGTCTTATGACCATACTCAAGACCTTTCTTGAAGGATTGCCTCTGAGGCTGTTAGTTCCCTTATATCATGTCTCTTGAATGTTTTTCTTTTCTCTATTCTTTACTTTCATTATATTATTCTAAGGGTTTCCTTCTTGTTTTTCCATTCCTTTTGTTAAGGAGAACTGTATCACTGCCAAAAAGCTGTTGGATATTACTTCATTTTGTTGCCAGACACTGTGGGGTGACTCAAGGGTGGTAGAGATAATTTTTGACAGTAAAGTTCTGCTGTAGTCATTTAGACACTAGAAATCTTCAGTTTTGGACTGTTTTGGGCATATCAGGATAGGATATATTGATAAGTATAAGGGGAAAAAAAAGAGTATTTATCACGATAGATTCTTACCTGCTAATAGAATCATATCCTTAGTAATTGGTAGTAGGAGAATTAAGAATGCATGTTTGTCAAAGAAATGGTAGAAAATTGGTAGTATTCCCAAATTACTGAGATTAGTATCCTCTATTTTAAAGCCATTTTTTCTAGGTCTTCTGTTTATATTCCTTTTTAATGTTCTCTTAATAATATTTAGTAACTTTAATTCCTTTTTTAATACATACTATTAAAGATTTTTTCTTATTTTTGTTCAGTCTACTACAGTTCAACAAGTATTTATTGATCATCTATGTAAATAGTACTGATTAGGTCATTGTAAAAGCATTATAAGCTTGACTTCTCTCTTGTGGGCATTCAGTCATTGACATTTCTATCATTTACCATGGTTAAGTAGACTATCATTAGTACAAACTCAGAATAGACTGAATTAGTTTTCAAAGTTGTGCATCTTTAGCTATGCTTAAGATTTAAGATGTTAATAGACAAGTTTTGACTTAACCTTTTCTTCACTGCCACCTCCCTAAAAATGTAAGCACTTGAGTGTGTGGAATCTGCATTTATATTATTTCATATTTTGTTAAAATCTTTCCAGTTCTGCAAAGATTCATGCAGTTCTTATATCTTAGTGGCTCCCTCTCCACCCTGGGTTTCTGAGTAGCTCAGAAAGTTGCTTTCTATTCTTTTTTTGTGGTTTTTTTTTTAGATTTATTTTTTATTTATTTATGCATACAAGAACTGGGGTGTAGCTCAGAAGTGCAGGGGGTGAGAGGATTCAGTAGAGACAATGTGGAGAGCAGAACAGGTGGATCTACTGAGATGCACTGCTGAGGGGAACAATTGGGGTGAGACAGGAGAGGTCTGCTGTGCCGTGTGGATTATTTCCATGGCTAGGATTGAGCTCATGCCACATTAGTCTTTATATTGAGTATAGTATATTATTTGAAAAACTGGAAATACTTTTTTTAAATTGTAAGTTTTATAATAATTAACTTTTAAAACTTTCATTTTCCTAAGGAAGAGGAGACAGACAATGAAGAAAACTTTATTGATCTCAACGTTCTAAAGGCCCAGACCTATCAGTTGGTAAGTTACTTGGGATAAATACAGGACCAACAAGCTGGAAATTGAAGCAAGTAAAAACTGTTGGTGTGCTGGAAATTGAAGGAAGTTGGCCATTATTTTATGTGTTGTTTGAAAAGCAGCTTTCAAAATTGTTGCCCTATATATAAATGTTATGGTATAGCAAATACAAAATCCAGAGGAGTGAGTAGGGCAACTGCTCTATACCATGGGGAATCACCATAGTGCCTGTATTGCAAACCGAAAATAATTTTCTTTCTAGATGTTATTTCTTTAATGGAAAAACAAATTATTCCATTTTAATTTATTTTCCATTATATGCTCCAATATTAAATGGTCTTGATTGTAAGAAGAAATTTAAATTCTTTTAAATAAAATGGTTTATATTAAGACTGCTATATAAATAAGTAGTCAGACATTGCTTTAAGTCAGTTTGTCTTTTTCAATTAGGAAATAAATTCAGTCTATAAAAGAAAACCCACTATATTTCAAAAGTATATATGAAATTTTTGCAGTTTCTCAATATGTATATTTCAATAAAGTGATTCTTGTTACACATTCAAAAAATTACCTATGGAATATATTTTTATTTGTCCTTTATTTAATTTTTGTCTAATTCTACAAACAAGTTTGGCTCTACAGTAGGTTTGGGTTCCTACCATGAAGACTTCTTTGGCTACCCCACCCAGGATGGTCTCATCATTTATCATTTACTGCCTCAGTATTGTTAGTCAGCATTAGTTGTTATTATTAATGATATGTGTGTGTGTCCTTCCTATTTGAGATGTAATAGAATTTTGTGGCTAACTTGCCTGAGTGTGTGAGCTGACTTTAATACTTTTAATACTTAATATGTATCTGACCTTGGGCAGGTTTTCAAACTTCTTTAACATCTTCATCTGTAAAATAAAGATTAAAATATTACCTTTTTCATAGGACTTTTTTTTTTTTAAAGATTTATTTATTATTTATACAAGCACTGGGTACAGTCAGAAGCACGGGAGGGTGAGAGAATTCACCAGAGTCAGAGCAGAGAGCTGAGCAGGCAGACTGACGAAATACACTGCTGAGGGGAGCAGCGGGCGGCAGGAGAGGTCTGCGCGCCATGTGGGACCCTCTCCCGGTGGCCGGGGATGGAACCGGCGCTGCAGAGGCTGCAGGGAGCTTCGCAGCCCAGCGCTCAACCGCTGCACCACGGGGGAGGCCCTTTCATAGGACTTTTAAAGATTAAAAGAGTTACTACATGTAAAGCATTTAGGATGTCTGCCACATAGAATATGCTTGATAAGTATTGGCAAAACCAAAATCATATCTTTCCTCCAAAACCTCCCTCTCAAATTTGATTTGTATAAGGTCAAAGATAATAATCACTTTTTGTATTGTTCATAGTGTAACACAGTTAAATGAATGAATGAAGTATTTTTTATTGTTCAACTGAAAATTATATTGGGATAATATGTTAGTATTTAAATCCAAGCAAATTAGCTCTAGTTGGAACAATACATTTACAGATCCCAGTGCAATTTTTTTTCTTTTTTTTTTTAAGATTTATTGTATTTATTTATGCATACAAAAGCTGGGGTATAGGCCAGAGGCATGAGGTCGGGAGAGGATTCACCAGAGACAGAGGAGGGAGCAGAACAGGCAGACTGACTGAAATATACTGCTGAGGGGAGCAGCAGGTAAGACAGGAGAGGTCTGCTGCGCCATGTGGGTTAGCTCCCTGGCTGGGGATCAAACTCATGCTATGGTGGCTGCCAATAGCTTGAGAGTGCTGAAATTTGCACCACCAGGGAGACCCAACACAGTATAGTTTTCAAAGTACCTTGAAATGTATTCTTTTACTGAACTCATGAGGTATTTGGGTAGATGTATTATCTCCATTTTAGAGGTACAAAAACTGACATAAGCGTGGGACAGTTTAATCTCTTACAAAGTTAATAAATTACAGTAGCTGAATTTAAGCTCAGTTTCTCCAAGCCGCAAGTCCACCTTTTTTCCTTTTACTGTATAACAAGCATTCAGTAGTATATAAAACAGATGCTTAGTGTTCCTGTATGTGTTGAAGATGATGATGATGACGACAAAGTATTCCTCAAAGTATGAGGGGGGGGGAAGTAGAGATGAATACACAGTATTCTCACATAGAACCTATCGTTGGGTTGTTCATTCTTTTATTGATGATATAAACAGAGGCCCAGAAAGGTCCTTGGGATTCCTTCTGGACAAAATAGTGTGAGTATTGGGAAGGATCAAGGTCATCTAATTTACCTCTACCACTTCTCTAGTGGTCCTGATATTAATCTTCACCTCAGTTAGCTATTTAAAGAAGGGGTTCCCCCTACCTGTGCCTTCATAAATTACCTTAAATACTAGATCCTTTAGACAAAGATTCTGTAACATCTTCTCATTGGAACTAAGACAGTGTGGTTGTGTCTTTGCGAGACAAAGTCTGGATACCAGGTGTTTGTGGATGGTCATCCATGAAAAACTAATGAGGCAGAAAGCCCTTTCATATTTTAAAAAATCTGGCAAGCTTATGATGTTGCCCACTGAAGCCATCTGCTTGTGACAGCTGTATCTGACTATAGCTTAGGCCCAATTCTGACTGTAGTTCAGGCTGCTCTTTCCCCAAGACAGAATTGCTATACAGGTTAGTAACAGATTTAAGGCTGTATATTTCACGCAGCAGGTGGAATCACAATGCAGAAGAAATATTATTTTAATAAAGTTGAATGTGATAAATTCCTCACTAGAACAAAAATGATGTATACTGTCTAGGAAATTGAAGCACTAAATGTATATGTGACTGTGCCATCCGAGCAATATATGAATTACAGCAAGCCTTCTCTACCTGTGATTTTGAAACAATAGGTGCTTCTCCAGTCATCTCTACCCCCTCACCCAACTTTGTCTTCACAGATGGATTCTGGTATTGCACTAATTTCTGATATTATTGTCCCTCGCACCACTGAAATGCAAGCTCCTCCAGAGCAGGACTTTTTTACATGTGTGTGGTATGTAGAAGTTACCCAATATGAAATAATATTGAATGAATACATACATCAATGAATGCTATTTTGCATTTGAAATTTTGTAAGCAAGGTGTAGTTTAATCTTCATTGAGAAATGAGCTTCTCAATAACTGCTTCCTCTTCTATGTACCATGTAGAATAATTCAGGGAGAAAATCTACTTCTGTTTCTTTATTTCATTAAATAAAGTATGGCTACACCCTGACAAGCATGCTTTAAAGCATGATAATTCAAGAAGATGTGATAAAAGGAACAAGAAAGAATGCAAATGAAAAAGACATGTTGCAGATTATATTCTCTGGAAGCAGATGCTGAAACAGTTTGGGGTGCAAGAGGCATATTATAAGCAGACACTGTAAAAGGAAGGGGAAGGAAAGCAGGATTAGACAGAAGGGAAGTCTAACTCTGATGCAGGCCTGGCAAAGCCCTGACCAACTTGGTGAGGTTACCTGCTTGGCTCAGTTCCTGGAGCAGGCTGCCCGGGAAGGGCACACGCCCAGGTAAAGGAGCCCTCTGCTGGTGAGACAGAGCCTGAGGGGGCTGACAGCAGGACACTGCTGGCCATACTCCCTGCAACTGAGCAGCAAATCCTTCTTTGAAAGGAGACCTGACCACTGTCCTGATTACCACAACGTGCTTGAAGCCTGTAACTGCTATTTTGAAGAATTTATTAAAAGATATGGTGTGGCTATTGACTAACTTTTGAAAGGTCTGTCTAATGGGATTATGCCACAGTAATAGTTTTCATGAATATTGAAAATTATGTTTTAAGACAAAGGTTCCTCCAATTGATCATGGATGCTTGTAAAGATCAAATTGGTTTGAGAAGTAGGAACATTTCAGCTTATTTATTTACTTTGATTTAAAATGCATTTTTTAAACCTTATTATTATTGTATGGTTCCTCTAGTTCTATGATTGTGCCACATACATCCCAAAAAATTAACTCCTGCTTGAGGGATTGCTGTAGTTTACAAGGTTTCATCTGTAGATTAGTTCTTTGAATTTTGATTTCATTTTTCTTACAAGGGAAACAAATATGAATGGATATTAAGTTTCAAGGCTAGCTCACAGAGTCACACGGTCTCTCTTTCCCTCTGATTCTTCAAATGTCCTTGAAATCTGAAATTTAACCCAAGCCTCCCTGAGCATGGTCATGGGAGAGAACACTGGTGCTGTATTCAGGCTCTGACAGTTGTCTTGTGGCGGTTAGGAGTGCAGTGGGATGTTCAGAGATGTGAGGGGTGAGAGCAGGGAAGGAAGACTGGTAGGAATGTGTTAGGGAGGTGTTTGGACCATTTCTATTTCTAACTCAAGTAAGTCAATTGGAAACTGCCTGCGTGTTCATGGTAGCTACGTTGTAATTACGCGTGGTCTTTTGTAGCTCCCCTCCATTCTGAAGCTCAATAGAATCACAGCAACAGTGTTCTGGCAGCATAACGCAGATGTGTCATTCTCCTCCCCCAGTGAAAAAAGATGGGAGGGAAGCTGTGCGCTCTCCGAATTCTATTTTTAAATGCCCATCATTGCATTTCAAAACATTTTTTTCAAACATGCCATAGATACCATTCTTCTTTGAGATGCTAAATTTGAGGTTTTAGAAACCAAATCCTGAGTTACACAGCATAAAACCAACTATCTCAAAAGGTTTAAATACAATTGGTTTTTAATTACTTAGCAAAAAATTCATTGTACCAAGAATGAGGATTTTTAGCTTAAAAAGCAAAAGCTATAAGGAAGTAAAAATCTGGACTGAGAATAAAAACATCATTTCAGCTTTAGTTTATAGAATATTCTCTCAGCAAGTCTAAAATATTACAATTAAAGGGGGGGAGATGGATCTACTTTGGTTAATATCTAAAATACTTCCAATTTTCTTTATTTTATATATGATTTATACTTCCCTTCTGGACAAAATGTTCTTTCTGAGCAATACAGGAAAAAAAATATAAACTATTCTACCACATATT